GCCTTTTGTAAAGAAGAGGGACATTGGAAGAATGAATGCCCAAAGTTAAAGGATAGAGCCGGGAAGCAAAGGGGGAAAGCTGTACAAGCTTCAGAGGTGAATGTTGCCAAGGTTGTTGGCGACACTTCAGATTCGTATTCTTTTGGTTATTCTTATCCCGTACTGCCGTCTGTTTGTTATGCCGACTCTACGGAGTGGATACTTGATTCGGGAGCTACATTTCACATTTTCCCTAAGAGGGATTGGTTCACCAACTTTGAGGAGTTGGAGAGAGGAGACGTGGTGCTCATGGGGGACGATCACGTTTGTCCTATTAGTGGGATTGGCTCAGTCAGAATCAGAATGCATGACGGGGTGACTAGGAAATTGAAAGAAGTGAGGTTCGTGCCGCAGTTGACGAAGAACATCATTTCTCTTGGGACTTTGGAGGCATCCGGCTATAGAGTGATCTTAGAAGATGCTAGTTTGAAGGTCATGAAGGGTTCTATGGTGGTGATGCGAGGTGTCAGGGAAAACAACATATACTACTTGAAGGGTAAGACAGTTACAGGGGGTCTGGCAGCTTCTATCACCACAGAGGATGACACTACCACACTATGGCACATGAGGCTTGGACACACAGGTGAAAAGTCCCTACAGTCATTGGCAAAACAGGGGCTACTGAAAGGTGAAAGACCTGCAAGATGGAGCTGCGTGAGCATTGCATTCTTGGGAAGAAGACTAAAGTGAAGTTTGGCACCGCAATTCACAACACCCAAGGTATATTAGACTACATTCACACAGATGTTTGGGGCCCTTCTAAGCACACATCACTTGGTACTATTCCAGGAGGAATTGGGTATATACCATGAAGCATAAACATGAGGTCCTGGATATATTTGTGGAGTGGAAGAAGAAAGTGGAGCTGCAGACAGGTAGAAAGGTGAAGACTCTTCGTTCAGACAATGGTGGAGAGTATAAGAGTGATCCATTTCTATAGTTTTTCCGGGATCACTGCATTAGAAGACACTTCACAGTTAGAGAGACACCGCAACAAAATGGGGTGGCAGAGAGGCTGAACCGTACCTTGCTGGAGAAGGTGCGATGTATGATGAAGCAGAGTGGATTGGCTAGATCTTTTTGGGCCGAGGCGTTAGTTTATGCGAGTCATCTCATTAACAGGTTGTCGTGCACTGCGATAGAGGGGAAGACTCCTATGGAGCGTTGGTCTGGTTCTGTGGCTAGTGATTATGATACTCTTCGGATATTTAGGTGTCCAGCTTATTTCCATGTTAGTGATGGGAAGTTGAATCCGAGAGCGAGAAAGGCTATCTTTGTGGGATTTAGAGAATGTGTCAAAGGCTTCAAATTATGGGATCCACAAGACAAGAAGATGGTCATTAGCAGAGATGTCACATTTGATGAGGCGTACATGATGAAGCCTCGAATTCCTCAGCAGGTGGAGGAAGATCAGACAGGAGAGATATCGCAGCAGGTGGAGGATGATGTGACTCCACCCACTCCAGTCAGCACTGTGTCCATTGAGACTCCTACAGAGGTGGCACTGAAAGGAGATGAGATGACAGTTGGGCATTTGGAGGATACAGTTGATGGTGAGGCTCAGGAGCAGGGTCATGCTCAGGGGTCCATTGCAGCAGATAGACCGAGGAGAGAGATTCGTCGGCCAGCTAGATATGATGATGTCATGGTGGCATATGCTTTATCTGTGGAGGTCATTGATGATTTTATTCCTGCCACATTCAGGGGGACAGAGTCCAGCTCTGATTCCATTAGGTGGAGGAATGCTATGGAGGAGGAGATGCAATCTCTTCAGAAGAACGACACTTGGGAACTTACACAGCTACCTAAGGGTAAGAAAGCTATTGGTTGCAAGTGGGTGTATGCTAAGAAGGAGGGATCTTCTATTGGGGACATTCAGTTCAAGGCCAGATTGGTTGCCAAGGGATATGCACAGCTTGAAGGTGTTGATTACAACGAGGTGTTTTCACCCGTTGTGAAGCATTCGTCGATTCGGATACTATTGGCATTGGTGGCACAGCTGGACTTAGATTTGGTCCAAATGGACGTGAAGACGGCCATTCTACATGGAGACTTAGACGAGGAGATCTACATGACACAACCTATGGGGTTTAAAGCTGCAAGAAGAGAAGATTTGGTGTGCAAATTGAAGAAATCTCTTTATGGACTGAAGCAATCACCGCGACAGTGGTACAAGAGATTTGATAGCTTTATGATTGGCCGAGGATACACGAGGAGCCCTTATGACCCATGTGTTTATATGCGCAAGCTACAGGATGGTGAGCATATTTATTTGTTATTGTATGTTGATGATATGCTCATAGCTTCCAGGAACACTTCAGCTATTGGGAAACTGAAAAAGGAGTTGTCATCTGAGTTTGAGATGAAGGATCTGGGAGAGGCTAAGAAGATACTTGGTATGGAGATTGAGCGAGACAGGGTGAAGGGGAGATTGAAGCTTACACAGAGGAGTTACTTGCAGAAGATGCTGAAAAAATTCAGTTTTGAGGGTAATACCAAGGTGGTGAGTACTCTATTAGCTCCCCACTTTAAGCTTTCAGCTTTGATGTCACCAGTTTCAGTGGAGGATAGGGACTACATGTCCAAGGTTCCATACGCCAACGCAGTGGGTAGCTTGATGTATGTTATGGTGTGTACTAGGCCAGATTTATCACAGGCCGTGAGCATGGTATCTAGGTACATGTACAACTCCGGGAAAGGGCATTGGGAGGCCGTGAAGTGGATTCTACGGTATATTAAGGGTACCGTGGATGTTGGGTTGATATTTGCGAAGAATGATGAGACAGAGCAGGATTGTATTGGCTACATGGATTCAGACTATGCCGAGATCTTGACAAGCGTCGGTCCACTACAGGTCATGTTTTTACATTGGCTAGTGCACTGGTGTGTTGGAGATGTGCTCTTCAGTCTACAGTGGCGCTTTCTACTACGGAGGCGGAATATATGGCGGTGACTGAAGCAGTGAAGGAGGCTTTGTGGCTACATGGCTTGTTGGATGATTTGGGGATTGCACAGGAGACCATTCAGGTACATTGTGATAGTATGTCAGCTATCTATTTGGCGAAGAACCAAGTCTACCATGCACGCACGAAGCACATTGATGTCAGATTTTACTTTGTACGTGACGTATTGGATGATGGTGATGTCACGTTGGTGAAGGTCCACACTAAGGATAACCCTGCTGATATGTTGACCAAAGTTGTATCAGGTGTGAAGTTTGGTCATTGTTTGAACTTATTGAATATTCTTCATTGTTGAGGCCATTGGCGGCCATTTGGATGAACTACGTTCGGCTTGATTCCTTGGGCAAGAGGATACGTAGGCAGTCTTGCAGATGCAGCCGGTTGAATTTGATTGGGGATGTTNGGACCGACGCGGTCGACCGCCGAACTCTCTGGAAATTTGGATCAGCCGCTGGATGGAGGGCGGTCGACCGGGCCGGTCGACCGCGATGGATCGCGGTCGACCGTACCGGTCGACCGCCGAAGCGGTTTTGAGTTGGGTTCTGTTTCCAAACCCGTTTCGTTTGAGAGTTGTATTTAAACCCTGAACTCGTTTCTAGGGTTAAGCTTTGGTGATTTTGAGCTGCTGAAAGGGGATTTTGAGGGCTTCTATTGTTGGAGTCTATTAGAGAGATCAATTGGTCTTGTTTGAGGGTTTTGGGTAAGATTTGTAACCCTAATTTGTATTCCCCTTTGATTTCATTAGTAAAGCTTCCCCCTCCTTGCCCCGTGGACGTAGGCACATTGCCGAACCACGTATATCTTGTGTTCTTGCTGTGATTGGATAGCTTGTGTTCACTTGTGATCTACTATTGTTCTTGTGTGTGCTTTTGTATTGTCTATTCGGGCTTCCGCGGCGCACAACAATATACTCAAACTTGGGGAAATAAAAATATGAAAAAACAACCATCTATTCACTCAACAAATCGACTACAGCGCTCTCTCAGAGCTCGTCGCGTGCCTGCATTGCATCAATGGAATACTATTTGGGCATAAACAAAACATACTTACATATGCTAAAAGGTAGATATAAAATCATTGAGATGCAAGAGTAATGATAATGAAAAAGTAGCTACACATGCGGAAAGATAGACAAATTCATGATTGAGAGAAAATTTTAAAGTAGATGATGGTTATGAACTACAAATTCTTGAACATATGAAGATTGCCTCTTGCAAAGCATTATATTTGGAGGTCACAGACTTCGTGTGAGCTTGCTCTGCATATTGGAGAACAAATCATAACTGATGGGTGTAACACAGTTTCGGTCTCACCATTGATTTAAGGAAATAAGTGGAAAAGAAAAATACTATCAGCAGGATTTTGCATTTGTGGCTTTGGGCTTATTTGATGCTCTTGTTCATTAATGTCAGGAGTTCCTCGTGAGATATTTACAACTGAATAAATCCAATAGCTTGGTATACTTTGTTAATTAATCCTATCACCTGACTGCTGTTTAGTTATAGTAAAAGATTACAATTGCTGTTGCAGTTTCACTTTGCAAAAGATACTTCATACTTACAGGAGTGACTACAACTAACTATTCGTTTTATATTCTATATTAAAAATTTCCGCAATTGTAAATGTGAGAATGAAATGAGCATTTCGTTCTCACACGTGTTACGTATCATTTCTTATTTTAGTCCATTTTCATTTGACTTGATTTCTGTATACTGAATCAGATTTATAGCAAAACCAGCAGTTAGCTACTCGTTCAAATCTCATAAATACGTGTACACACTAATAAGAACAACATACTTATTGAATTTATTTACGTACCATCTCTTTGAATGCTTTCTGTTGGTTAACTTGCTCATGTCGGCAATGGCTAAAAAAGTAATTTGCTTTAAATTAATGACATCCCATCACTGAAGTACTGATAGAGATCTTCCCCGCATAAGTTCCTTTATGTATGTACTAATTAATCCATCACCCATGAGAAAATAAAGACAAATCACATCATTAAAAAAATCACAATCTCACTTTCAATCACATAAAGCATCACATTTATGATCACTCTCTAGTTTCACCCCAAAGAACACAAATAATTAATAGATAGAATAAACAAATCAATAACTTGGTATGAACACCAATCCAAGAGAATTGTTAATTTTTAGGTCCTCGGGGATGCTTTGGATGGTCCCCCGTGTACTGCAACGATGTAAAAAAACTGAGTTGCAGAAAGAATGAACAGAAATGCTTCCATTGTCCTCTGCAAAATTCAAGGGAAAAAAGGTATCGGTAAATGTTTCAATTGATGGGAATTAAGCATTAGAAGCGATTAACGACGTAATTAGTATTAATTGCATGACAAGTCATCCAAGTAATTAAAATATAAGTATGAACTTTCAATTTAAGCTATAAATACAGCAACCAATGATCCAATTAACAAATTTTTTTCTCTTAGAAAACAGTAGTGCAAATCCCTATAAATAGTAGCTATGCGAAATTTATCCAAAAGAAAATTAAAAATTTCTCGTCTTACCAATTTTGCATTTCTTCCCCCAAAAGCAATCTCCTTACAGGCCAATCTAAAAGCAACAGTGCAATTAGCTAATAAGCATGAAGTAATTAGTTGCAGGACGTGAACAATTGATACTTTTACTCACCCCATCGCAAGAAGAGTGAGACCCCATGCTATAATTGCAGAAGATGCTGCAGACTGCATGCTTTCATAACTCCACAGCCGGATATGATGGATTCCAGCTATGGCCGAGGCTGCGCCAACGACGCCAGCTATCAACGAAAACACGACGAAGAACCCTGTGGCTGCGTTACCGATGGGGAAGAATATCGGATAGAAGTGAGCTGGAAGCTGAAGCTCTGAGCCTGAAATTGTACATTCAGTGACATAGTTAGCATGCCAGCGTATACAACTATAATTCTCAACTCTCATAAAAAATTAGAAGTTTTGGTGGAGTTGAAGGGACTTTAGTATTGTATCAAATTATACGATAATGCTTCAAATCCTACCCACTATCAGAATCTATGTAAGGCCACGAAAAGGACTCTCAATCTGCAAGAGCATTTTAATTTGTGTAGAAGAAATCTCTTGAAATTGAATTAAGTGCTCCGTTACCATTTCAATTTCTACGAAAACTTTTCAACTTTTGGAGAAGATGGTATCTTTAGCATGTAGAAAAATGCATATATAGTGATTAGAATCACGAAGAAAGATGACAAACATTAGATAATGGAGGAGATGTACACTTAACGTAATTGAGTATAAGAACAAGATTAATCATGTCAGTCGGCTCCAAAAATTTTGGAATAAAAGCTTTGATGTTGTTGTCGTCCTAATACGATTAGGACGATCAACAGATCACAAATCAGGTTAAATATATCGACATTTACGAACCTATGATGAAACCATGGTCAATTGCTCTATTGAGTGCCCAGCCTCCGAGAGCTGCAACTATGACGTACATGCAAAAATTCAGCACCAAGAGAAGAGACGCAACCGGCTTCATCGCCTCTTTTTGTCACGTGTTCTCTATGGAGGTGAGAGTGAATGCTACGGATAAGAGTAGCTAGCTCTAGAGGTTTTGCTTATATATACTTGGAACGATCGTGATGGCTTTTGTTCTTTGCTTGTTAAGGAGAGGGAAGCTTTGAATTCAAGAAAGGGAGCAAAATTTCAAGCTTAGGAGATATTGTTGTCTACATGAGAAGACTCTTAACTGTATCGCAATTTTTTATGTTATTAGATTCTTTGATTTGTTGAGGGATGCAATGTGTTAGCTTTATTCTTTGCTCCTGCCTTTACTTTTGTGGAGGGAAAAGCAACATTCTTAATTTGCTGTCATTGGTTAAAGTTATACTGCATTTGCTGTATACTAGTGTTGGAAAGTTCCTAGAAGAAAGTTAACATAAGGATGTCACCAGTACAAGTGACTAACATGATGCATTTATTTTTATTTATTTATGTTTTTATTCCATAAACTATTCTGTGTGTGTGTATTTTACTCAAGAAAAGGAAGAAGGAAAAAAAAAATGAATGGACAGGTACATGCATTTCCTTATGTACAAGAGTATATATCTATGTTGTTGGATTTAATGTATTCAGTGAACAAGTACATACATATGTTTTGGACCGAAGTGTTTAATAGATTTATGACGTTTGAGATCTATCGATTTCCAAGAATTTCTTCTGGTTGTAATTCTCTCTTCTTTATTCTCAAAATAATAAGAAGGATCACAACTTGATATTAATTCTTAGGATCTAGACTTGGTCCAATCATCGTTTCATCTTTGTGTTTGCGAGTATTTCTTATTTGTGCTTTGATTTCGATTTTCTGTCCATTCTTGCTTCCCATGCTGTGATGGTACGATTTGTGGTGCGTATATAATTATATATTGTCATGGTTCATTTCTTGAATTTAATTAGAATCTTCCACAGTTCAATCTTACTCTTTAATTATCAAGCTAGGTTAACACGATGAGTAATTTTTGGGGGTAAATTTCATAGAAAAACCCAGAACTTATGGGTATTTCCACAGCATCTGCAGAACTTTGATAATGAGAAGAAACCACTAAACTTTAAAAAGTTTCACGAAGCCCACATGATCCTTATAAAGATCCACAAATGAAGTTTACAGGCTTAGCCAAAAATGTTTACTACTACAAAAGAGGATTGCTATGTTAAAATTTTTGGTTTCCTCTTATACCCTCTCAAATTTAATAATCCCCAATAACTATAAGTATTAAAGTTTGTGTGGTTCTAATAATTATTAAGTTCCTTTTATATTATATTTTTGGTTAAGCACTAATTATCATGTTAATTATCTTGTGAGGACTTTTGGGTTCTATGAAATTGTATTTTGGGTTGAGCACTTATTCTTAATTTTCTTTTACATAATTACTACTCAGCTCCAAAATATAGTGAGGTGTATGTAATAATATGATGAAGGATAATGCTTTAGAGAAACTAACCAAAATTATATTATGCAAAGACCTCTTTACGCATGTAGAAAGACCCAATTTTCATCTTGATTAAATTAAATATGAGAAATGTTTGGCCAATATTTTCTTCAAGTTCTTTTTATTTAGAAGAATAAAGAACTTGCTTGTAGTTATACCATAGAAGTGTGCCTAATATTGTACAAATTATGTACAATGTGCTAATGTAGTAGCTAACTATTTTGATTTGGACTCCCACGAAATGAGAAAATGAACACTAAAGAGAAGCTTTTAGAAAAAAATATAGGAGAATGAATAATCAAATTATTCCAAGGGATGAAGAGTCAATAGGAAAGTTTCATTACAAGATATTGAGGGTTAAATGAAAATGATGTGTACCCAATTTAGCAATATAAGAAATTAGATAACACTAAAATATCCTTAAATTTATAATCTAAAACAAACAAGTACGTAAAAACCGCATAGTTTGGACCATAAGGATATTCAATCTCTTTGGTAGCCATTTTCTTTATAGGAAATTTATGTTGAGACTATATTAGAGTGGATCCCTAAAACTTTGATGTTTTGAGATAACCCCTAAAACTTATTGTTTAAATTATAAATTTAACATTAAAAACTAATTTAATAATATGTGTTAATCTATAAATTTACCATGCATCACGTGCAATGCACGTATGACATACTAGTGACTAAAACATCCTTTGACAAAAATAACACCCGCCTCAGTTAAGAGAGTTGGGTAAATTTTTTTGGGTGTCGGATCCATTTTGGTTATATAAGGAGCACATGATCCTTAGTTAATGAGGTTATTCATGATAGTAAAAATGAGACATGTATATTTAATGTATTACAGTACAAAGCATCCGAACCCCTTCTCTAACTTATAAAGTTCAGAGGGTTTAGAGGAATATTAGATGAAAGAATATATTGTTCATTTTATTTAAGGGAAAAATGCTTCCAACCCCAAAATCCAAAAAACATGCTTCCCGCTCCCAAGACTTTGTCAACGGTTGCTTTGCCCCCAAAAATAAAGATTTTGTTCGCTGAGCCCCCAAAACACAAAACCCAAAGAGATTAAAATATGTGAAGACCATAATACCATTCTCTCTCTCTCTCTCTCTCTCTCTCTCTCTCTCTCTTATCATGATGTACTGAGATGATAGTTGAAATGATTGATGAGGGTTACGGGTTTGTTGTTAAGGTTACGGGTAGGTTGTTAAGGTTACGAGTTTGTTGTTAAGGATATGCGTTGGTTGTGAATGTTACGATTTGGTTGTGGAGTTAACCTACACAACAAACTCGTAACACTAACAACAAACCCATAAACATTAACAACAAACCCGTAACCTTAACAACCAACCCGTATCCTTAACAACGAATATTCTAAAAACCCGTAACGGGTTGGTTGTGAAGGTTACAGGTTGATTGTTAAGGTTACGGGTTTGTTGTTAAGGTTACAGGTTTGTTGTGTAGGTTAACTTCACAACCAAAGTGTAACATTCACAACCAACGCATATCCTTAACAACAAAACCGTAACCTTAACAACCGACCCGTAACCTTAACAATTAAATCCCTAACCTTAACAATTAAACCCCTAACATTAACAACAAACCCGTAACCTTAACAATTAAATCTGTAACCTTAACAATTAAACATGTAACCTTAACAATAAAACTCGTAACCTTAACAACAACCCGTAACCTTAACAATCGACCCGTAACCTTAACAACCGACCCGTAACCTTAACAACAAATCCGTAACATTAACAATTAAACCTGTAACCTTAATAATTAAACTCGTAACCTTCACAACTAACCCGTAACCTTAACAATTAGACCCGTAAACTTAACAATCTCCCAATACAAACAAAACAATTAGTTTCATCATCAACAACGAAAATAATAAAAAAACAAAAATAATAAAATAACAATCCCCTTCAATCATTTCAACATCATCACAGTAACATCATGATAAAGAGAGAGAGAGAGAGAGAGAGAGAGAGAGAGAGAGAGAGAATGGCTCTATAACCTTAACAATTGACCCGTAATCTTAACAATTAACTCGTAACATTAACAATTAACCCGTAACTTTAACAATCTCCCAATACAAACAGTTAGTTCCCCTCATCAACAACGAAAATAATAAAAAACTAAAATAATAAAATAATCCTCATCAATCATTTCATCATTTCAATTATCATCTCAGTACATCATAATAAAAAGAGAGAGAAGTGTATTATGGTATTCATATATTTTAATCTCTTAGGTTTTGTGTTTTGGGGCTCAGAGAACAAAATATTTATTTTTGGGGAAAAAACACCCGTTGACAAAGTATTGAGGGCAGAAAACATGTTTTCTTAGGTTTTGGGGGCCGGAAGCATTTTTCCCTTTATTTAATGTATCATAAGATCTAAAGTTGTGTGAAAGCATGGAGCAAAGTCAAGATACCTAACATATCAAATCTTAGCATGGAATAGATTGTATATTTAATGACATAGGCCTCTAGTATGGACGAAATGACCGAAGGCTAATTACGTGTCTACGAAGAGTCGTTCACAATGAAATAAGAAAAGGTCTAGAGAATACACACGCAAAAACGTCTAAGAAGGAAGAAAAGATTCAATCCAACTCTCAATTGTGGATTTTCCAAGGGTAAAATTCACAAAAAGTCCCTAAACTTTGGGGCTTTTCCCGCAACAGCCTCCTTAACTTTGTTTTTTATTTCACAATACCCCTTTTGGGGTGTCACACATAACCCCCTAAACTTTTCAATGTTTACTAAAATGTTCTTAAGGAGCTGTTTGTTAAATTTCTGAGAGATCCAAGAAGTATTGTAATGAGTTTCCTAAACAATGGATCATACCAATGAATGGGAACAAGCCACCTCATCCTCTTTTGATTTCCTAGTTAGAACCAATCTTAAAAAAGAAAAGTGTTATAGGAATTTTTTTTTCCTATAATACTTTTTTTGGCTTTTCGGGGCAAGCAAACATAAAAAGGGAAACGACCCCAAATTATAGTAAGGTGGTACTATTATTGTTATTTGCCAATTACTGGTAGGGGGTCAATTGAGAAAATAAAGATCATTGATGAGTATTTTCTGAGACACCCCAAAATTCAGAGAGATTTTGCGAGAGAATAGAATACAAACATATGCAAAAAAAACAGAAAGTTTAGGGGGGTTGGTGAAATCAATCAAAGATTCAACAAATAGTTAAACGGTCGTCGTCCTCAGCTCAAGCGTCTACAGCATGGTCAAGATCAAATCCCGATCCGAGGAGATCGGTGGGGCCCTCACCCCCACCGATCAGGTGCTCTTCAGCCGGCACATGCTCGAGGCCTCTCTCATGGGTAACCCCTCTTTCGTCTTGATTTGATCTGGGTTTTGTTTAGTTTGTTTTAATTTGTGGAAATTGGGATGAATTGAGTTGGTTGAGGAGTGGCATTGATGGGGTTTGATTAATTAGATGCTAAATTGGGATTGTGGTTGAGTTTATTTTAGGCGGTCTTTGATGTTTGATGATTTGGATCTTGAGTTAGCTAGGCGTAATTAGCAAAATGTGAATTGTAATTAGAGCCCAATTTGAGGAGATCGGTGGTGCTCTCACCCCCACTGAACTATTGTGGGCAGTTTGGTTCATTGATTAAGACAAAATTAAATTGTTTCTCATGATTAAGACAAAGATAAAATTGTTTGAGGAGTGAAATTGATGGTTCTAATAGCTTGATGCTTTGGAACTATGGTTGAGTTTGTTGTAGGAAATTCATGCTTGAGGCCTTCCTAGTTGGTAATCTCTCTCACTCTCTTCTTGATTGATCCCGCGATATTTTATCTTGGTTTATTGAATTCCTTGTTAATTTATTGTGATTTGGATGAATTAAATTCTTGAGGAGTGACATTGATGGGTTTAACTAATAGATGCTAAACTGGAACTATGATTGGGATTATTGGAGATGATCCTTTGATGTTTCTATGATTGGACTGGGGTTGTTTGGTTGAAATATATGGCTATCAAGTTTATTGTAGGTGATTCCGTTTATTTTTGGTAATTAGAACCAACTTTGAGTAGTACTTGGAGTTCAAATTCGAGGAGGTAGGTGCGGCTCTTGCCTCCACCGACCAGGTCCTCTTCAGCTAACAAATTGTGACTGGGGTTTCTCGAATTTGTTGTTAATTTTTGGTAACTAGTGTAGGATCTCATATGATGGCCGAATGCGTTGAAATCACAATGTTGTACATGGCGGAATATAAAGTGCTAGTTATATAGGAATATAGGCTAGGAGGAATAATATAAAATTAGAATCAAGCTTTTGGTCGTATCACAAATAAAATGAATACAGTACATCTCTTTCTATGACAACTCATTAGTCATTTATCAGACTTCATTTCCTACTGTGGTAACATCTCTTTTATGACCATGATTTTAGTCAATTTGTAACTCTTGTTTATATAGTGACACTTTATTTTTCATAATCTTCCTTGTTACTTGATGACTCTTCACATTTATAACTTTCACTTAGTTTTGACAATCATAATCAAGTTCAGTTTTTAACATCACTCTGTAATAGTATTGAGAGGTGGATTGAGTTTTCACTAATCTATGTTTGGATTATGTGGAGACATAGATGTTAAGAAACTAAAGATCCATTTCAGTCTTGTTCGACCAAGAACAAGCATTAGCCCGAACAAACAAGTGAATAGGGTATTTATGTTTCTAATTTCCAAATCCAACATTTTACTTTACTAGTTCTTGCCTTTGCTTCTTTTCTTGGTCCAATATCTCTAGTTTGCTATTACGTAGTCAGCATAATTTTCTTAATTGAATACATATATACACATTCCTACCATTCTCATTCAGGGTGTAGTAAATACTAAATATTAGTGGTTTAACCTTAAGCTTTAGCTCAATTTTAAATTTCTACTGCTGCAATAGATTTTGCGAGAAAGATGAAGATCCCCATGAAGTAGTTCCGAGAAATAAATTTTCCCTGTTGATTCTATTGGCTGTGATGTGCATAGTAGAGGGAGAAAAGGTATTTTTCCTTCAAACAATAGTCTCACATCGCCTAATTTAGTGTATGGGTGGGTGTTTAAATTGGTTCCGTTCTCTTTACCCCTTAAGGTCCCAAGTAGGAGTGTTTTGGGCATTCAATTTGTTTGAGCATTGGATAACTCACACGCGGGCGCACTCGCCGCGCCGCACGCGCCCGCCCGCTTGCCTCGTCGTTTTTGAATTTTTGTTTTTATTTTTTTATTTTTTTTCTTCCATTTTATTTTTTGACTCGGCAATTAGCAATAGCTAGATCGTGCGCACGTTTTGGAGAACGTGTGCTGAGTTTTGCGGGAAGTTTAAACAGCTGCGCGAATTTGGTGAACGTGGCTTGGATTTAGCTGGGAGTTTCAATAACTTAGGGTTTCTAAAACCCTATAAATACCGCCTCTAACTCAGTTCGTAATACACAGCAACGAAAAGAAAAGTTTCCCTCTTCTCTCTTCTCTCTTCTGTCTTCTGAAAACTAAAAACTCTTCTCCCTCTCAAAATCTTTATTATTTTTTTTGGACAATCATCTTCATATGAGAAAAAGCTCTATACTCTCGCCCGAGTACAGAGACCGGCTACTTCCGGGGGCTTTTACCGCTAGAGAGAGAGGATCGACTGCGCCAGGACGATAGACGAGTCATCAATCTTCTAAGATAGTGCTTTGCGTGACTGCTACCCGTATCAGGCCAGTTTTTCTGTTCAATTATTTTTCAGATTTATATGCATGCTAATAAGATAAATTGTCAACAATCTAGAAGATTGATATATTATAGCTGTTAATTATTAAATGTGAAATTATTGTGCTTACTGTTAATAATTATAATATGTTCATCCGAAATAATTTTAATTTGTAATTAATTACTGTTAATTGCTATTAATTGTTTATTTGTTAACTGTTAGTTACTGTTAATTGTTAACTTGTAATTAATTTAATTGTTAATTTGTTACTGTTTTAAATTCAAAGAAAATAAATTCTATTCCAAAAGGAAAATTATTTAATATTTACTGTTACTCTTAGAAAATTAATTTTAAAAATTCTTATAATTATTGCTTAAATTATAAATTGCTAATTACTGTTTCAAAATTAAACTGTTCTGTTCGTAATATATATTGTTCATAAATTTATTGTTCATTAGAAATACGGTGTAATTAATATTACTACTGTTTTTCTAGTGTTCATAATCTGTTCAAATATCAACCACTTAGAGTGCTAGTAATTTTACTGGTTAATATTACTAGTTTATAGATAAACTATATTTACAAACACCCTTTGCAAATAATTGACCATAATAAAATCTTGAATCAAATACATACCCTAAAGTCATACTCCTAAGTAATTAGTTGATTGGTTTTGACAAAACTTTTCATTCCTATCAGATTTCAAAATACCTAGACTAGTTAACTTGAGTCGGGCTTATGAAAAATAATGAGTGTCAAACCTGAGAAGTTCATCGGTATCAACTATAAACAGTGGGCTAATCAGATGAGATACTGGCTCACTACCCTAGGACTCTTATATGCTATTAACATTCCTGATTCTTCATCCATTGGATCTCAACCCATGACCTCCAACTCTCTTGTTTATGGTCTTGAACCTGAACAACCTACTCCTTCCACTTCTGCTTCTGGTGCTAGTTCCTTCTCTAGGCCTATGAAGCCAAAAGAAGTAAACTATCACTGTTGCCATAGGAACCTTAGTGCACTTGCAGACAATCTTTATGACATATATTATAAGTTCAAAAGTGCCAAAGACCTATGGAATGCTCTTGACGCAGAATATGACTTTGATGATGTCGGAATTTTGCGTTTCACATCATCTTCCTTCAATAAGTTCATGATGGTTGATAACAAGCCTATAAATGAACAAATTCATGAATTTTAAGATTTCATTCGTCACCTCCAATCAAAAGAAAACGTCTTTACTGATGATTATAAAGTTTCCTGTCTGATTAACAAACTCCCTTCTTCGTGATCTAGATTCGATGGAGATCTCTGACATAAGTAAGAAGATCTAACATTAACTGAAGCTCTCAAGGCTATTCGCATTGAAGACCAACATAGACAAAATTCCAAAACCAAAACTGAAATGAAAGGTAAAGTGAACTTGGTAGAGGACAAGTCTAAATCTAAGAATTTCAAACCCAAAGGGAAGAAATTTAAGAAAAATTAGCAATCATTCAATAAACCATCTTCCAAATCAAATTCTAATTCTTCCAGTCATAAGTCTGATGAAAAGTTCTGCTGTCTGTGGTAGAACCAACCACTTGGCTCCCAATTACTTCCATCGAAAGAAAGAACCAGCAAAACTTGCTCCAAAAAGAAATGGATCTAACAAATTAAATATGATTGAAGAAAATCCAAATTTCCTTCAAGTTAGCCTCTTCATTCTATCTTGTAAATTCTCTTACTTCTACTGATTGGTACTTGGATTTTAGAGCTAATAATCATGTTTGCAATGATCGCTCTTGGTTTTTAACGTACCAGGAATCATGTGGAGGAAGCATAAGCTTAGCAGATGACTCCACTAAACAAATAATGGGAAATGGATGCATAGAACTCACTATGACTTCTGAAAAAACTCTAAATTTGCAAGACGTTCATCATGTTTCTTCTCTCCGTCGAAACTTGATCAGTGAATCTCTTCTTCTTAGAGCTGGTTTTAGGATTGTAAAGGAATCCAATAAATTTGTGATTACAAAGAATAATGTATTTATAAGAAAATGCTTTATTTGTAATGACTTTTTCAAGCTCAATGTAATCAATTCCAGTTCTAATAAAATTTCTGAATCTTTTGTTGCACAAATTGTTGAATCTTGTGATGTTTGACATGGACGACTTGGACATGTAAATTTTTAAACTTTGTAGAAAATGATTAAATTGAAACTCATTTCTAACTCATCTCATGATCCATCATCTAAGTATGAGATTTGTGTTCAAGGGAAACACACTAAGAAACCCTTTAAGTCTATAATAGAAACTCTGAACCCCTCGAATTAATTCATAGTGATGTGTGTGACTCGAACCGAGTTCTCACTCGAGAGGTAGGAGATATTTTGTGACATTTATAGTCGATCACTTCAGATATTGTTACACCTATCTTCTCAAAACTAAAGATGAAGTTTTAGATAGGTTTTAAAGTATATAAAGCTGAATCTGAGAACTAATTTGAAAAGAAGATCAAGATTTTAAGATCTGATCGTGGGGGGTATACCTCAAATGAAATGACTGAGTATTGCCAAGAGCACGATATTATTCATGGGGTAATTGCTCACTATACACCATAATCTAACGGGGTAGCTGAACGAAAGA